AACAACATGTCGGCTTAGAGTCATGGCTGCTTGCTCGCCAGCTACCACCACACACACACATGACAGAAGCTCAATTGTGACACATGGGAGACGCAAGTGAGTTAATATGATCGTTAAGACAGTAGACTATGATCAGTGATTCATCGATTACTAAGAACATTCGCTTCCCTGTAATCTGCCAAAGGTTCCCTCGATAACTGGTTTTAATTATCTCAAGCACGCATTTGTGTCAAACGCAAAGTCCTAGTTCCGGCCTTACAAAAAATAGCTATCGGAAGACCTTTTAACAATAACCATAAGCAGGACAAAGTGGCAGTTGTTTCAGGCACCAATTTCCTTATCACAGAAGTAGGTATAACCGCCGCTCCAGTAACGGCATTGTCAACTGTACTACTTATTAAAAAGAGAGTAACCATTCAACTAACTAAACCTACTCGTTCGCGCATCCGCCATCTCGACGTCACCAGCTGCAGAAGGGCTGAAACTATCACGGAACACATACTGCTGCATGATGGCCATTATCTGTTGCAATGCAGGCGAAGTGCACACTATAATGATGAAGCCGAAGAAGAATCGACAAAACATTAAACACGACCGAGCAAACCCACATCCCCGTTAACGTCAGTCAGGACCAGGTAAAGGCCCTCATGAGACAAAGCATAGCAAATCCGAAATCAGTTCCAGGAGATGCGACAAATGGACTCAATGAAGAGTATGTGATGCCTAGTGGCGAGAATACAACATTCACAGTACCAGTATCCTTGACAAACATTTAAGCAACAAGAGCTGGTAAGTATAAAAATCGTTGAATTGAGATAGAAAATAAGGGAAAATACAAACGACCACTACATCATTAGTGACTCGTGGCAAAAACAAGTCATTCACAGGTGGGCGCAGATATATATATATATATATATATATATATATATATATATATATATATATATATATGCCTCAGCAATAAGGGGGTGCTCCGTAACGACGCGTCGTCGCCACGCGAGCACCACCATTTGCGCAATTGCTGCTAGGCGTATGGCGAAGTCACTCGCACCTGTGCGGATTGGAACAGGTGCCACCGGTGAGACAAAATGCACAGGCCTCATCCCGATACAAGGCTAGTGTAATTAAAGCTCAGCCGATTGTGTAATCATTTAATCAAAGATCTTTCAGCATGAACGCTTGTCGGTCAATTTCGCGCATAGGCCTGGATTCCGACCATGCTCTAGTGTGCGCACGTTTGAAGCCCAATCTTCCAACTTCAAAGAAGCGCCTATCTTCTAACCTTCATACCTGTAAGTTGAACTTGCGGCCTCCAGTTCAATAATATCATGACGAACTGGCCCACCAGATGTTAGTGATGAATGAGGTTGGCGGAACGAACGCCAACTGAGATCGTCCCAAATGTGCCAGGAAGTATGCCTTTGACGCAGGCTGCGTGGCTGAGATGAAACTGCGAATGGAGCTCTGAGGCATCGATTAGCTTGATCGAAGCACGGAAACAGGTTCCGATGGGCACTGAATTTCAGCGTGTCCACAGCTCCCTAAAACGACGTCTGATAAGGAGTCTTCGAATTGACCAGGAAGATGGGTGAGTGGCAAGGTCCGTGAGATGAAAATATCCTGTTCTCTTAAGAACAGCCGAGTGCTATTCCACCTCATCCGGAACATCAGTCCGAGAAAACCAACATCTGGCGAGATATTAGCCAAGAAATCAGACTGCTGATTCATTCTCAACCTCGTCGATTAGGCTGTTGAGCGGAGCACTTTGAAAAGAAGTTCAGTAGGCCAGCTGCAACACTGCAGCTTGCCGAATCACCTGAGCGGACGTGGGAAGCAGATGTCACACCTCCCGTTTGGGAGAGATTCGACAAAAACTTTCCGTGTCGAAACGAAACAAGGCTCCTGGTCCCGACGACTTTCCTCCATATTTGCTGAGAGATGGTGGTGAATCTTTGTTGACTGGGCTCGCTTCTCTATTTAACAGCCTGAAGAAGTGACTTCAGGCTGGTGGCTATCAACTGTCGTGCCCATCGTCAAATAGGACCAGCATACTTGGTGTGGAAATCATCGAGACGTTAGCCATGTTTCCGCTGCATTCAAAACTCTTACATGTATCACTCTCCGACGACTTACTGGTCCTCGTGAGAGCCGATTCACTGAAATCCAGGCTGGGTTCCGACCTGGTCATGGTTGCATCGACCACAGATTTACTCATCGCCAATTTCTAGAGCAGACACACATACAGACGACTGACTGTGGTGATTTTCTCTGACTAGAAAGCCGCCATCGATTTTTTGGTCGCGCCAGCTTGTGGCATTGCCTATCTACGAAAGGCGTGTCGTCTAAATTCATTTCCAGTATGACGTCTCCCTATCGTGAATCCCGAGACCGTGTAAGGGTCTAATGGAAACTCTCTCCTGAGTTCCCAACTACAAGCGGGGTTCGCCAGTGTTGTCTTGCATCTCCTTTCCTCTTCAACTTCGTGGTCGAAATGATCATGAACGACTCAATTCTCTCAGACTCTACCGGAGTGGAAGTTCTGCCAGGCATCCAGGGTGACAAACCTTGAGTATGCAGACGACGTAGCTCTCCTTGGGTTTAACGCAGTGGCTATACAAACATCAGTGGATAGACTAACACGTAGTGCTGCACGCCTCAGTATGTGCTTTGCACAATCGAAGTGCAAAGTACTGTTTCAGGACTGGGCCGACACACCCTCGGTTCTAGATATCATCGAACAGCTACTGGAAGTGTTGGATCAGCTCACTTACCTTGGTAGTTGTGTCACCTCTGGTGGTCACATCACTGAGGAGATTACTTCGCGTATCAGCAAGGCCCGTACGGTTTTCCAGACTCAACCATCTATGGAGACGGCGGGATATCAGCGTGTCAGTGAAGGGCAGAGTGTATAATGCTGCAGTGTGGCCTGTCTTATTGTAAAATTCACGGACCTGGACAGTTCGCAGTGAAGACGGTAAACGCCTGGCAGTGTTTGACCACCGTTGCTTGCGAAGTATTGCTCATGTCCGTAATCTGCATAATCTGCAGTTCGACGGTCTCGACGAACTTCCGCTTTTTAACATTATTGCTGTAGTCAAGAAGGTCAGCACAACTACGCAATAGCAGATCCTTGGAAATTTTGCTCATGGCGGAACGGCAAGGACATTTCAAACTGATCACGGACCACAAACCTCTACTCTCGATATTTGGATCAAAGAAAGGTATTCCTGTTTTCACAACAAGTCGCTTACAGAGATGGGCAACCGTACTGCTAGCTTACGATTTCAGTATACAACATCGATCTACACAACAACTCGGCCAAGCTGGCACTCTACCTCGCCTCCTAAGTTCCCACTTGATGGAAAACGATGACTGCGTGATTGCATCTGTCAAATTCGAGTCGGAAGTTTAGCGCATCCTGGTTGACAGTGTAAGGGAGTTGCCATTAACGTCGGACACAATTCGTGCAGAGACGGCTCGAGACAATATCCTGCTGAAAGTGATAGGGTTTGTGCAGTCCAGTTGGCCTAATGTCAGAAATTCGAATGAGTTACAACCTTTCTTTAATCGACGCGGATCCCCTTCAGTTGCTGACAATTGTCTAATGTTTGGAGACCGAGTCGTGGTACCAAGGAAGTTGCGGAAGCGAATACTACAGCAGTTTCATTCAGGACATCCGGGAACCAGCCGAATGAAGGCACTGGCGCGAAGTTTTGTGTATTGGCCTCAGATGGATGCAGAAATCGAGCAGTTCTGCCAAAGTTGTGAATCTTGTCAACAAGCGGCAAAGGCACCTCTAAGATGTTCGTGGCACCTTTGGCCCGAGTCGGAAGAGCCCTGACAGAGAATCCACTTGGATTATGCGGGACCAATCAACGGTCAATCTTATTTGATTTTTGTTGATTCCTACACAAAATGGCCCGACGTGATTCCGATGCAAAATCCAACCGCCCAGCACACTATCAATGAGCTGAACAAACTGTTCCAGTATTATGGCACCCCGGAGATGCTGGTTACAGACAACGGAGCCCGGTTCACCTCAACGCTGTTCAGAGAATTTTGCAGGCAAAACGGAATCCAGCACAAGTTTTCGCCGCCGTACCATCCACAATCGAATGGGCAAGCCGAACGTTTTTAAACGTGCTCTTCTCAAAACTGAAGGAACGAGGGTGTCACGAGATGCAATTCAGCCGTTTCTGAGAATGTATAGAAACACTGCGAATCCAAACACACCGGAGGGTAAATCTCCTTCTGAATGTCTATTTGGACGAAAAGTTAGAACGACATTGAATTGTCTGATTCCCAGAAATGTTGACAAACGCAACGGACAACCGAGAAGGGGGCAGGATAACAGGCTTCACACGTTCACGATTGGCGACTTGGTGTGTGTACGAAACTTCCAGACTTCGGAAAGATGGATTAGCGGAACGGTTAGTGGAAAGATGGGTGAAATCTCGAGACGGCCAGTCCATGACATGGCATGAGAGAATTGGTCAGGCTGGTGCGTCGTCTTCCTGGATGGGGACTACGGGACGGTCTACACCAAGATTTGGAGATCGTGTCAGACACGGCGCAGTCACGAAGTCAGTAGCATTCCTGCATTCGGCTTTTTTCATCTGGTTGTTAATTTTCGCTCCATTCTGATTAGTCTTGCTTTATTTTCTCTACATTCTATTCATAACCAAACCCACTGTCCTGTCGTTATTATTCATTGTTATTCTTACGGCGTGAGTCCTGGCAACTGGATCCACCGCACTTCTGTGCTCGAAATATAGTAGTTTAACTGAACTGAACACTTATGCTTTCAGAGTATAGGGGATGTGGAGGTCAGCAAGACTTGGGCAGTAGTGGGAACACATGGCTAAGAGAAGTTACCAATGCTTACGGCCTACAGATTTATATAGAATAACTAGTAGAGCAGGAAGCTGTCAGAAGAGCATACATTGCAAGGTTTAGTACAGAGGACGGTGTTGCAGCGTTAATGTGTAAAACGGTGATACCTTGCTCATTCCGAGAGAAAGAGCCTCCAAATGAAGCTGAGCACTGCTTGTGAGACGGATGTGATCACTTGATTCGGAGGCCGCGGTGACACAGCCCTTGGTTTGCACGACAAACGTCTGGCTGATATCTTCGCAAGCCGTGGTTGTCAACATGGGCGTATCTACCTGCAAAAATGTAGAAAGTGTGATAACTGGTCCCAAAACTAATTAGGTGTGGAATTCGGAGTGCAGCACGAGTTACAGGAAATGTGAATTCGAGGATGCTATATAGCGGCATGTCATTGACCTCTAATATTGCAAACGTTATGCGGCTTGGATTCGGGTTCTGTCGATTATCGCACAAATAAGTTACCAATGAAGATGTTAAATTGAAGCATAGTGTAAGAGAAATAGCAGTGACTGCATGGAGGGCCCAAAGAACAGATAGGACTGAAGACGGTCTGAGTAGATGAATGATGCGAACCAGTTGAATATTACACTCGGGAGGACGAGTAGTCTTGCTAGTCAGTAACAATCAGCGCAAGTTTCCCTAATGATTCAAAGACTCAGTTAATGGAGGTCAACAGAATCGCTTTCAATCGAACCGAAGTAAACGCGAATGGGTACAAAACGGTAGCGTGACCATATTGGGCGAACTAACGAACAGAAACGGAGTAAAGCACTCTCCCAGTGACGCCACGATAAGTGTCGAAACAGTGCCCATTAAAGTCCACATGAGTGCCAAGAGAAGACCTTGTGGGGGGGCTCGATCTAGTTATTCATGGACGTTTCAATTTGGTTACGGACAGCCCTATAAGTAGTGGGAAATGAAAAATCAAATCAAATCAAATCTAGCGAGGATGAATACGTTGGAGTATCAAGTGGATGAAAAAGAGCCATGCTACGACACGACGAGATATTGCGACACGTGTGCCGCGTGTGCGAATTCACATGCACCTATCAGCTAAAACGATTCGTCGTAAGCGGGCACGGAAGGTTATGTGGCAGTATGCTGTAGCACGAATTCTCTGATACTTAGTCGGATTGGGAAAACGGCACTTAAATTGACCTGTATCCAACTCGCTGTGTACGCTCAAGTCGCATTCGGAACCATCCGGGATAGAATAAGTTATGCGTTGCAGGTATACAAAACTCGTAGTGATAGATTTAGGGCAGACTGATCAACTAAGCAATTGATTGTGTTAATCCAACGGCACATTGGGGATGGAATCAATTAGTGAACAACCGAGGACACAACATGGGTAAACGCGTTTAAGCTAAGTGCTGAATGTGCCTCACATCGGATGATTAGGCCAATACGAGCATGTGCCAGATAGACCACCTACGATAACGGAAACTACTAACGTAACAAATTTGTCGTATAGCATCGCGAGGCCAACCTCAGCTAGCTTGTACCCAAAGGAACAGACTGTGATCAGTGTCTACTGCACACATAGCATAAGCGACAACTAAGGTGATGCACACAACAGCAGCACAATCATGTGACCATAGCGGTGAAGTGAGTTGCGTCGAACAGTTGAAACTGAGTCGCTCAAATCGATCACAAAAGGAATTTGGGCCTCGCACTGTCAACTTGTCGGTCGATGCTGCGCAGCAAAGCGAATAAACCGCAAAAGCTAGAGTCATGGGGTTAAAAAAGCTCCACAGTGCACAAAAATATTTGAAATGTATGAAGTCCATAGAGTTTGAGCAGGTTTAAAAGTTAATCGCGCAGTACAACAGCACACACCTCGGCATTGTACCTCAAATCCAGCTACACGACTCAGAACTTTGAAGCCGAGAGAGGCGATGTGGGATTCGGAGTGTGAAGAATTGCTGAGGTAAAGCAAGCCGATCTATTAAGTGCAGTCATTGAGTGAAATAAAACGATAAGAAATGCAGTGCTAAACGCCAACTGTAAATTTAATAGCTGGAATGATTTGTAAAGAGACCTGTTAAGCCTCAGCAAGATTTGACAGCGCCAACTAAAGTTAGCATGCCGCAGAGGAAAAACTAAAAACCATACAGGGAAAAAATTCGCAAAACGATATGGACGGGATACACATGTAACAACTGCAGTAAAACAACAGAGGGATTGTGGACGAAGACCCTATCACCAGCAAACAGCAGTACATCAGGTGCTTCGCTGCCGTACAACCATAGTAACCTACCGAAGGAAGAACAAGGCCAAGGCACCTACACATTAGGCATACAACATAGCATTACATCAGCTGGCTACTTTGCAAAGATTAGAAGGCATCGGCGAGACAGCTTCCTTGCGGATTTTACTGTCGCGCAGCATAATCCACCATCAGCTTGCAGACAACTCAGCACTAAACACACGTTAAACAGGCAATCCGATTAAGAGGCAACAGTAGACGCACCAATGGTGTCGACTGCGAACCATGTCATGTAAGGTCTCAAGCGAAGCACAAACCGCGTCATGTGGACGCCAGCCCGGGAGGCGAGACTGACCAACGGCACCGAGTTTCAATGTCAGTGACTTCATTTCCCCGCTACCAAGTGAACCTTTGTCCACCTCAAGCCTTGCGTTAACCTATATCTGGCAAACAAAACAAGACGCTCTTCGTCAAGTGGTGACCAGGCATACCCAGTACATGTCCAAGCCAATGCAACTTATTCAGTGCTGTCAGTTATTCTAAGAAACTAGCTTGGTAATTACTGCCCAGTACTCGCCTACGCACATCATCGTTGCGGACATGCCGGAAACATCCGGCATCAGCAATGGTTCGTAGACAACAATTATCAAATCCTTGAAGACGCCTCAGGTCCTCAGATAGGAGGGGTCAAGTTTCGCTTACAATGGGTAGAACGGCCCTCACTGTGGCCTTGTAAACACGGCCTTTCAGACTGAAAGAAACTCCTTTTTTAGCCACATATTTAGCAGATTCAATAAGGCAGTTCGGGATTTTGAAATGCGTGGACTGATTTCAGTTGCCATCCGTCCATCGTTGCTGATGCAACTGCAAAGATAGGTGAGGAGATCAACTACATCGAGTTCCTCGCTATCAAGAGTCAAGGGGTCATCGAGTGGCTCGTGGTTCTGTAACAGCACTTTGAACTTTGAGGATGCGAAGCTTATGCAAAATAATGCGACAACTCTAGAGATGATATTCAGCGTTGATTGCGCAGCCACAAGATTGTTAAAAAGCAGGACAATGTCGTCCGCATAATCAAGATCAGCTGGCCTTTCACCAGGCAGCACCACAACGCCTGCGTCGTGGGGATTCGCAAGTTCACAATGAAGTTGAACTAAAACGGGGAAATGGACAACCCTGAGGAATGCCACTCACCAGCTGACGGAAAGGCATCCGAAAAAACCACGTGGCCTGTAGTGTTCGAGTATAAAGCACGCAAGAGGTTACATGGGAAAACCTTTCCACACAAGTATTTCGAACAGAATGCATCGGTCGAGTGAGTCGAACGCACTATTGAGGTTGAGGAACGCAGCTATTGCCGGTCTGCCGTACTTGTAGCGCTGCTATAGCACCTGCCGCAGAGCCTGGATTGCTGACCTACCTCCTCGTGATGCCACCTGGGTGGTTCGGGTTGAACCTGTTCCAGCAAATAGTTCGGCGGCACTGTTCCAGGATGTGGTGGGTTTTCGCCTCGCAAGCGTTCTCCCTATAAAAACCAGTAGATGACTGTTTAACAACACTGCGACGTGGTGGATGTGACTTGCCACTAAGTAAAGGCACTGTCCCTTGTCAGTCCCTGAGAGACTGTACTTTAAGGGTGCGTAGGGCCCCAGGTCCTTCACGGACAGAAAGACGCATGAACGATCTACTTGGTCACCTGCCCCCAAAGGGTTGCGAGGCCCTCTCATCGCCCTGCTGCCTTGCAGGTCAGATTTTTGAGCAAAGGCTCGGGGTAGGGCCACCTAAGACAACCTTCTACTTCGGCCTGGACAACCGGGTAGTATCATTCCCACCGACGAATCATGGACCACACTGCTTAATACTGCTCTTGCTTTGCCTATCATCTTTACTAACTCAAGGGCTCAACCTCCACTCACAGATCACCACACCTCCCGTCCTTCACCTATATATACTCTTATGTCTTCTGCGATCACTGTCACAAACGACCCACGTCTCGCAAACGATGGAAGTAACAGCCAAACTCCCGGTTTTCAATGTTTTTCGCTCGCAACCATCTCTCACTCCACCGAAGCTCCAGCTCTTCTTCGACCTGGTTCGCCATTCATCCTCACAACGTTTAATGTTCGAACGTTGCTGCAGATCGGACAACAAGCATGTCTGGTCCGCACTCTTAAAACGCTTTCGGTAGACTTCTGTTGCCTTTCAGAGACCAGATTACAAGACTCCAGCGACATCATTAGAATGGCCTCTCCGGTAAACCCTGACGCCAAATACCACTTGCGGCTTTCCGGAGACCCAGAAGCTGCCGCCCCTGGCCAAGCTGGTGTTGCAGTTGCACTGAGTGCCAGGGCTGAATCAGCTCTGCTTGACTTGATCCCAGTGAACAGACGGCTATGTGCAGTCCGATTAAGAGGTTCATGTAATGTAAGCAGGCGTCGGAACGTTAAGCGTGCCTTGCTTGCCGTCTCCGCCTACGCCCATACAGACTGCAACCCAGATGCAGTCAAGGATAGCTTTTACCAGCAGTTACATGAACTACTGCGTTCCTTCAAAAGAATTGATATCGTCATTCTTGCCGGGGACTTTAACGCACGGATCGGCCACCTTCCACAAAGCGAGCACCACCTTGGGGGGAGTTTTGGCCTCGGTGGCAGTCGATCAGACAATGGAGACAGACTGCTTGCTCTTTGCTCTGATCATCGCTTTTCCCTTTCGAGCAACAGTTTTCGGCACTCGAGGAGACACACTGCTACCTGGCGCCCACCATCACAAACGCAAGAGTGCTCCCAGCTTGACCACATAGCAATCAGCTACAGACGGCACAGAAGCGTAACGGACTGCCGATCGTACTGGTCAAATTATTTAGACCAATGACGTATAGGTTCGTGCAAGGTTTGCATGGATTTTTCGGAGGATCAACCAAGCGCGCTCACTACCGACCGGAGGTCGTAAATCTACAAAACCCAACGAGTGTAACCAGATACAAAGCCACACTGTCAACATTGCTTGGCTCAACTGTTGATGGTGACGTCGATTCGCAGTGGGCGCAGATCAAAAATGCCTTAGTTCCCGCCAGTATTGACACTTATGGAGTTGCCGGTCATCCACCGAAGCATTGGATTTCTGTCGTCTTCTTGTCGCTGATGGACAAACGCCGTTTGATCCCGTCGGATTCCAGCCACAATGAAGAACGCCAATCCCTGGGTTGAGAGTTGCGCAGGAGTTTGCAAATGTACCGCGAACCTTGGTGGTGTAAACAGGCTATGGAGATGGAGCCTCCTAGTCTCTCTGGTAATGCCAGAAAACTTTTCCACCCATTTCGAGTCATCGAAGGTGTTCGATCTGGTATAAGTGAAACAATATGCGAAGAGGATGGCACCTTAATCACCAATGGTTTATCGACGGTTGGAGGGATGGGCCGAACATTTTGGCTCGCAGTTTTGTTGGCCCCCAGCATCATCTGCTACATCTGGCGCTCGCACGGGGGCCGAGTGGTCTACTCCCACAGATCCTCGCACTTACCAGGAAATCAAGCAGGACCTCCGCCACATGAAGCGTTATAAAGCCCCCGGCCCTGATGGTCTCACTCTAGCTCTATTGAAAGATGCTGGCACTTCGCTGATTCGGGAACTCACTACCTTGTTCTCGAAAGTTTGGTCGAAAGAAGAAGTTCCATCATCTTGGGGCTAATCGATTGTCGTTCTTATTTTCAAAAATGGCCTATGTACAATCTGCTTACTGCGCGTCATTTGCAACCTGCTGGTGTCCATCATACTTCGGAGCCTATCCGCAACGTGCGAATCGTTGCAACGAGAAGAACAAGCTGGGCTTCGCCCTGGTCGCGACTGCATCGATCAAATCTTCACACTGCGGTAGATTCTCGAGCTCCGCCAAGTGTAACAGAGGGCAAAGATTGCTGTTTTAGAATATCCGTGCAGCCGCCGATTCTGTCGATCGGACTGTACTGTGGAACTGCCTGCTGAGGAATGGGGTCCCTGAGAAGTTCGTCTCCATACTGTGCGCTCTCTATGGTCTGACCTCGAGCAGAGTTAGGGCTTATGGCAAACTTTCACCTCCCCTTGTGGTCCCCAGTGGAGTTCGACAAGAATGCCCTATCTCTCCGTTCCTATTCAACTTTGACATTGAGGATGTCCTAAAGAACGCTCTGGACGATTTGTTGAACGCTGGAGCTGAGCCCCTCCCAGGTAGTCGAGTAGCTGATTTGGAGTATGCTGATGATATCGTCATGCTGGGTGACGACCCACACGCCGTCCAACTTGAACTAAACCATTTGGCGATTGAATCATCGAAGTATGGTATGTACTTCTCACCATCCAAATGCAAGGCTCTCTTCCAAGAATGGCAGGTGCCTCTGCCTGCACTCACTCTTGGTGGTAAGACACTGGAGAGAGCTTTGTCTACTTGGGAGGTTGCATCGCTGCTGGCGGGGCTGTTGGAGACGAGATTTCGATGCGCTTCTCAGAAGCACGTCTCGCTTTTTCTAGGCTGAGGCACTTGTGGCGTCGCCACGACATTCGTCTCTCCATCAAATGGCGGGTCTGTTTGGCAACTGTTCGTGCTGCGCTGTTGTACGGATGAGAGACCTTACCCATTCGTAAAGGTGACTTATGCACACTATTCGTCTTCGAGCACCGCTGTCTGCGGTCCATTGCCCGTGTGTTGTGGCGGCATCACATAATTAATGTGGAAGTTAAAAAGCA